TGAGTGGCGCTGGTTCCCGACGCCCCGCGGGATCCTTCAGCCCGGAACGATCGGCGGCCTCTCGATCACCAAATCCTTCCGTGCTAGACCTCGCCATCGCTCGGACGTCCATTCCCCGTGTTTTTTGTCGGTTTCGTGCGTGGTTCTGTCTCGCCAAACGATCACGGATGCTCCTCGTCGATGGTCGCCGCCGAGAAAAAAACGCACACGTCCGAGCGATGCGAAGGCAAACTCGAGTCGTGGCGCTGGTTCCCGACGCCCCGCGGGATCCTTCAGCCCGGAACGATCGGCGGCCTCTCGATCACCAGATCGTTCCGTGCTAGACCTCGCCATCGCTCGGACGTCCATTCCCTGTGGTTTATTCGGTTTCGTGCGTGTTTTTGTTCGCCAAGTGATCAAGGATGCTCCTCGAAAGTCGCCGCCGAGAAAAAAACGCACACGTCCGAGCGATGCGAAGGCAAACTCGAGTCGTGGCGCTGGTTCCCGACGCCCCGCGGGATCCTTCAGCCCAGAACGATCGGCGGCCTCTCGATCACCAGATCGTTCCGTGCTAGACCTCGCCATCGCTCGGACGTCCATTCCCTGTGTTTTATTCGGTTTCGTGCGTGGTTCTGTCTCGCCAAACGATCACGGATGCTCCTCGAAGGTCGCCGCCGAAAAAAAAACGCACACGTCCGAGCGATGCCAAGGCAAACTCGTGTCGTGGCGCTGGCTCCCGACGCCCCGCGGGAGCCTTCAGCCTGGACCGATCGGCGGCCTCTCGCTCACCAGACCGTTCCGTGCCAGACGGCTCTGGGCCACTGGCGGCGCTTGCTACTGCACGCCCCGGGCGGGGTCGCCCCGGCGTCGGCACGACGCGAGCCTCCCGTAGGCCTGGCGATGCTGCTCCCAAACTTTCAGACCCGCAAGCGACATCCATCGGGGCGCGGCGAGTGGAGACAGCGGCAACTCAGGACCGGTCTCCGGACCCTTCCTGGGGCCCGAGCGCCTCACTTTTCCGAGCTGTATCCAGCCTCAGCGACGAGGAGCCCCCCCGAAGGCCACCGTGGTCCCATCTCGCTTTTCTCCAACTGCGAGACACGCGATGAAGCGCCGTCCACGACCGAAGCGGAACGCAACCAGGTTGGAGCAGGGGCCGACCGTCCCAGCATAGGCCTACCACAACATGTTCTTAGAACCCAAGAATGTTCTCATAACAAAAAGCCAGAATTATTATAGCATAATCCCGATGTGTTAAAACAAATCAATCTCGGCCAGAATTGTTCTAAGAACATCTCGTGCAGACCACAAAAGGCTCTTAGAGCATTTCTTGGCGGATCTATAGGCGAACCAGGACGCTTCGCCACTGCTTGAGATGAAGCGCCATCCACGACCGAAGCGGAACGCAACCAGGCGGGCACACCTGGCCATCCCGAAGAGCCGACGGGGCCGGGCCGCCAAAGTGACCGCCCCCCCCCGAAGGCCACCGTGGTCCCGCCTCGCGCCCTCTCCCGACTGCACAACGCGTCAAAAAAAGCGACATCCAGGACAGAAGCTGAACGCAACCAGGTGGGCACACCTGTAGTAGGGGGAAAACAAACCTACCTCGATTTTGACCACCCTCGCTTCCAAGAGATACCAAACGATGCCAAACTACGGCCTGTACTGGTCAGGCCGCTTGACAAGGAGGCGCGTGGTATGACTTTGTTTTGCCTGTAAGCGAAAGCGGGGTAGGTAACTCACGCTCCGATGTAGAGCCCTCCCAGATGGGGTCCGAGTAACTGGGGCCGAAAGATCGCGCCGCCTCGCCGATGCATCGCCGATGCATCGCCGATGCATCGCCGCCGTACGGCGGCGATGCACCGGCGCCGTCGGCATGGCGAAAGTCGGACCCCGTCTAGGAGGCCTAGACCGACCCGCCCTTCTCCGACTGCAGGACGCGCAACTACGACTGACATGCATGACCGAAACTGAACGCAACCGGGTGGGCACTTGGATCGGGCCGGGCGAAAGGGGGGGATAGCAAAGGGGGGGGTGAGAATCAGCTCATGCAGCTGATTTTCCCGGCGCCTCCCAGCGCCGGAGGCGGCTACGTATCGAGGACTGGGCCCCTCGGTAGGGCCGAAACCAGCTGCATGCAGCAGATTTCGTACCCCCCCCTTTCCCATGTCCCCGCCTTTCGTTGAGCCGGCCGGGCCGGGCAGCCGCGGAGCGCCTCGTCGGCGGTGCCGGCCGCCGCGGCGCCGGCGGCAGCGCCCTCGCAGGGCGCCGCGCCCTTCGGCGTGGCGCCGGCGGACGCACCGACGACCACGGCGCTCCCGCCCACAGCGGCCGGGCCTGCTGGAGGCCTCCCGGGTGGGGGTCGGCGTGGATGGGGTCGGAGGATCGCGCCGCCTCGCTACAGCGGCGATGCGCCAGGATCCTCCGACCCCATCCACGCCAGCCCCATCTACAGGAGGCCCAGACCTGTGCAGGAGGCCGGCCCCTCTGGCGCGTCAGCTTCGCCGGTGCTGGCCACCGCGGCGCCGGCGGCCAGGCCGCCGCGAGGCGCCTCCTCGGCCTGTGGCGCCAGCGGGCGCGGATCTGCCGCCGGCGGCGGCGGCACCTCCGCGGCGCCTCCTCTGGAGCCACCGGGGTCCGCGGCGGCGCCGGCCGCCTTCTCGCCGAAGGCCCTTCTGCCGCAGGGCGTCACCTCCTCCAGCGGCGCAGCGGCCGAGGTGCCAACGATCGTGGCACCAGCGCCCGCCGCGGCCGCGACGCCGCAAGCTACCGCCTCCTCCGGCAGCGCGCCGATGGAGGTGCCGACCGATGCGGTTCCTGCGTTGCCAGCAGAGGCGCTGCCACGAGGTGCCGTCTCCTCCTTCGGCTTCGCGTCGGCGGCGGCGTCCGCTGCCGCGGTGCCAACCGATGCGGTTCCTGCGTTGCCAGCAGCGGCGCTGCTGCAAGGCGCCGTCTCTTCCTTCGGCTCCGCGTCAGCGGCGGCGTCCGCTGCCGCGGCGGCCAGCGAGCGCTCGAGTGCCGCACGCCAGTCGAAATTTGCAGCGCCAACGGAGCTGCGGAGCGGGTCCGCCACCCACGTGGGCTTCGGGCCAGGCGTGGCTGAGGAAGCTGGGGTGCTCGGCACCAATTTCAGCATCGAGCTCTGCAACTCCTCCATGCGGACAGCCTGCCGCTGGCACGCCTCCACCGTGCGGGCCCCAAGCGTCAACACGTCCTCCAGGGTGAGACCCCCAAGCTTCAGGTCGGCGTCTGAGCAAACACGGGGCTCCTCGCGGCTACTAGGGCGGCTGCACTCGACGGCATCCTCAACGGTGGCTCCAGCGCGGCCTGCTGCAGGCTCGAAGCCCCTGGCGTGTATCGCCTGCGCTTGCAGTGTCGCCGCCAGCAGGGTACTGGACGATGCGCTGGCGGACTCCCCGCAACCAGGCGGGCTGCAGACGGCAACTCCAGGCGCCTGCGGCTCGGCGGCCCCGCCATGGGAGGCCCCAGCGCTGAAGACTGGCGCCAGCGTAGCCCCGGCCGCGCCGCTTCCAGCCCCCGCGGTGCCTCTGGGGCGCGGCTCCAAGCTCGCCCGCTCTGGCGCCCGTGCGAACGCAGTCATGCCGCCCGCCAGCGCGGGCGCGGAGCCGCACCCCGGCGCACTGGCGGCGTGTGGCCCAGCCCGGGCAACAGCTGACGCTGGCGGTGGCGGCGGTGCGCGCGCTGGGGCGGGTCCAGCGCACGCCGCGGCCAGGAAGTTGCGGATGGTCTCCTCTTGCCAGGGCTCCCCGAGCGCCTCGCCCTCCCCGGCGCGCCGCGGGCTCTGCGGGCACGCCGTGTTCTGCCGCCAGGGCCTCTGCTCGGGCGTCAGCGTCCGCCTGCGCGCCCTCGAGGGCGACCCGCGGGCCCCGCCTCGGGCGTTGGCAGAACTGGGTTTAGTGGAACCTGGTTTAGTGATTTGCACCGGGGGCGCCCCCCCGCCCTGTTTCCACGAACCAGAACTGCCGACACCCGAGAAACACCGGTTACGGCAAACCTGGTTTGGTGCTTCTGGCCTATTCAAAGGCTCCGGGGCCCTACCACAAACCGGGTCCCCTTACCCGACCGCCTGCGGCGCCGTGGCGCTCCTGGGCGGCCGGCGCGACGGACCGACTGCGGCGGCTCCGGAGGGGCGAAGGCGGGGCCAGGCTGCTGTGCCGGTGCTCCATCGGCACCGCGCCGGCGCGGCGGTACATGGACCGGAGCAGCTTCCCGGCGTCGCCCACCTCGCCGCGGCCCCGAGGTGCGAGCTCCTGAGTTGCAGCACGGCTTCACCGATGCCACCCCAGACCCCCGACGTCATGCTTTCTGCATGGCGTCGACCCCGAGGGGTCTCGACCCCTTCCTGGGGACCGGTTTTTCATCCTGAGTTTTTTTTTAAAGGTCCCGCGGCCTGGTGAGGGCCACCCAAGGCCGAAAATAGCGAACAACCTCCAGCCGTGATTTTTCATGACTCGAGGGGGTCCGGGTGAGCATGGCTTCACCAATCCCTCTGGCACGGCCTTGGCCCCTCTGTCCGACTAACCCCCCTACTAGGTGGGGAGAGGTGCTGTCCCCTGCGGGGTTTCGCGGGGCCTGACCCCACCCTGAGGGGGTGGGCCGGTGGGGCTAATATACCATGGCCTAGTGGGGAGGGGGATCAGTTAGACGACGATGTAAATTGGTATGCCGAGGCCCAAGATGATGGAGCGCACGACACAGTGAAACTGGCGCTCTTCTGTGAAGAGCGCGCAACCTGGGGCCGAACCCCCCCTTCCACCTCCGCCACCTCCTCCTCGCCCTCGCCCTCCTCACTCTCCTCTACCTCCTCCTCCTCCTCCTCCTCCTCCTTGCCTGTCGCCCTCCTCCTCCAGCTGCCTCCTCATCGCTCTCACACTTTTCACTATCCTCTGCCTCCTCCTCGCGTGTCGCCCTCTTTCTCTACCTCCGTCTCCTCCTCCTCCTCCTCCTCCTCCTCCTCCTCAACCCAGGGGGACCTGAAGCTGGAACCGCCGATACATCGCCGATAGATCAGCGATAGTCCTACGACAGTGAATCCGCACACTACTGGGCGAAGTGGGCTACCGGGCCCCTCTCGGTGATGAACGGGCGATTGGGGGTCGATGGCCCCCTGAGCAGATCCTCCCCAAACATTGCCCCTGACCGATGTCTTCACGGTGGTTCTCGGGCTGTAACTCGGGCCTCCAACGGCCGTTCGGGGCGATCCTGCCACCCCCAAGAAGCTCCCAACGCGACGCAGACGTTGAAAAGTACCCAGAGGCTGCTTACGCCGGCAGCTTACGCGGGAACGTCGGCGAAGTCGGCCCTGTTTTTCCTCCGCAGATGAATTGTACTTTGTCTGCACGCAGGCTTCGAAGATCTGCAACTTCCGTTGTGTGGACTTGGACAGCTCGCGGCAATCCCAGCAGAAGCCTGGAAAGCCGCTGTGCGACACTACTGCCCATAGTGTTGCATTACTGCCCATGTGCTTCGACACCTGGCTTGCATTCATGAATTCATGCTGAATCGTACACGTGAACTGGCCGGGAAAAAATCATCAGAAGCATGCAGAAAGTACGCTCGAACCTCGACCTTCGCTGTCCAGCGGCCGTCCGGGCCGAGCTGGGCACTCCCCAGAACGCTCCCGCGGAGGCGAAGCCGTTGAAAAGCACCCAGCTAAAGAACCTCTGGGAGCCGACGAAATCCCCCTGAGCCCCAGGAGGAGGAGGAGGAGGAGGAGGAGGAGGACAAGGAGGAGGAGGAGGAGGAGGAGGAGGAGGAGGAGGAGGAGGACAAGGAGGAGGAGGAGGAGGAGGAGGAGGAGTCGCCCGTCAGGGGTAACACATCCGTCCACGGACCTCTCCCGGGGTGCGCCCTGACTAGAAATGCCAGAGTTTCGGGGCGGATCTGGCCGTGGCCACGAGGGCGCACCCCGGACGGCAGGAAACGTACAGAGAATGGTGCTCGAGCCTCGGATCTCAACACACAGCTAAGGAAGAGGCTGCGCGTTCTCGCCCCCGATGGGCTCTTCGGGACACAGTGCCCAATGTGCGGCATCGAACGAGCATCGCGGACGATTGGACGGGGGGCGGAGCGGAGAGCTGCAATGCATTGGTGGGGGCCCGAAAACAGAATCGAACCCACACACCCTTCTGGCCTATCTGAGCATCGTCTAGCCTATCACCACTGGAGTGGCATTGGCCCCCCTGACCGCTTTACCCCTCCAGATGGATCTATGTACGCTGTTCCCTTTGGGATTTCGCGGGGCCTGTCCCCATCTCGGTGGCGGCCTGGCGGGGCTGAGACACCATGGCCTAGTGGAGATGGGGATCGGAGAAACGATGCTGACCATCGAAGCCACTTGAACGCATGAAGCAACTGGAACAAAAATCCTCCGAAACGTCCAGGAAGGGATGGTCGAACCTCGCCCCTCGAAGGGGCCGGGATGGGGACACCTGATCCCAGGTCGAAGGGTTTCCAGCCCCCCCCGATGAGATGGGGGAGCCGACGACGACCACCACCACCACCACCACCACCACCACCACCACAACGACCACCACCACCACCACCACGCCCACAGGGCCACGACCCCTTTGGGGGGTGGGACCCATCGCGCGGTCGCGCGGGTCGGGGTGTGGGGGGGCCGAAGGCATCAGCATGAGAAGGGGGGGGTCCGGAACCTTGGATCATGTATGATGTTCTTTTCAGGGTCTCGCGGGGCATATCCCTATCCCCCTGACCTGACCTTGACCCCCCTGACCGGTCTGTCCCCCCACAACGGGGATGTATGGCCGACTCTGGAAATCCTGGATGCACAAATGCTGCCATCTGTTGGGGCGCAATCTTTGCTTCTGCCGCCATCCGCCGAGATTCCGTCGGCGGAGCCGCCAACCTCCGCTGCCATCCGCCCACATTCTGCCGCCTTCCGCCGAGGAAGAGATGCCAACCCCTCCAATCCTCGTCAGCGTAATATTTTTTCTGGAATGCCTCGTATGCGAAACATCCAAACTTCCTCCTCCTCCTCCTCCTCCTGCTGCTCCTCCTCGTCGTCGTCCTCCTCCTCCTCCTCTCCTCATCCTGCTCCTCCTCCTCCTTCTCGCTCCTCCTCCTCCTCCTTCCCCTCCTCCTCCCCCTTCTCTTCCTCCTGCTCCTCCTCCTCCCCTCCCCCCTCCACCTCGCTCCTCCTCCTCCTCCTGCTGCTCCTCCTCGTCGTCGTCCTCCTCCTCCTCTCCTCATCCTGCTCCTCCTCCTTCTCCTCCTCCTCCTCCTCCTTCCCCTCCTCCTCCTACTCCTCCTCTTCCTCCTCCTCCTCCTCCTCATCATCCTCCTCCTCCTCCCCTTCCTGCCCCTCGTTCCTCCTCCTCCTCCTCCCTTCCCCCCCCCTCCTCCTTGTTCTTCCCGACGGCACCGAAGCACGAAAGCCGCAGCGAAGCACTAAATTGAAAGGGGGGGAGGAGGAGGAGGAGGAGGAGGAGGAGGAGGAGGAGGAGGAGGAGGAGGAGGAGGAGGAGGAGGAGGAGGAGGAGGAGGAGGAGGAGGACAACTAGGCACTGCGAGGGTTGGTTAAGTGCCGCGCACGCCCGGCGCTCTTCCCACTACTGTGAGAATTGATCAGGTGCCGCGCACAACCGGGTGACAAGAACCGCCTTCCACTTTTCCTGCAGCCATTCACCGAACTGCCCCTTATCACCCGCCTTCGTGGTGTTGCAGAAGTTGATTGGGTGCTGCGACATCGCGCCGCTTTCCCCATCAGGAAAAAGTGGTAACACGCAGGTGAAACATGAGCAGGCGCCGCAATGGATACCAACGCGGCCGCGGCAGTCGAAACAATGGCCGCGGGCCGCGGGTAGTGTCTTGCCTCCGCGTTTGCACCACACCCCCTTGCTCCGCTAACTCCACATCCCTCCGGCTCCCCACAGGAAAGGCGCGACGACTCGAGCGAACGCGCGCCCAGTCCAGAAGGGAGGGGAGGGGAGGGAGACTTGAAGCTGAGAGTTCAAAGGGAAGTAGAAGGGTGCTAGATCCTCCCTTGTAGCAGCGTCGTTTGAAACAACAACAACAAAAAAAAACGGGCCGCCTCCGGCAGCTCCGCGCGGGCCACTGCTCGAGCTGCCCCCGTGGAAGCAGCGCCCCTCGCGCGGGAGGTCGGACAGAGCCTGGCGAAACGAGGGCTGGACAATCAGGAAGAACTGGGTGGGTTCGACCGCGGCCGCCGCGAACTCGCACTGATCGGGCCAAGGAGAATCCTGATTGCCGCTGGGGTCTTGCCTGCCCAGGGCACGCAGATGGACTGTCGCTGGCAGAAAACAGCTCGAGGGGGCCAGGGGGTCCGAAGGAGGCGCGGGGTGTGCAAAAGTGCCGGCCGCTCCATATATGTGCAGCGCGTTGCCCTGGTCGACTTGTTTCCACTCAGCCGCGGAGCTTGTGCCCCCCGCCCCCGCACGTTACTGATGGATCTAACAGGGCGGGGGCCGCTATGCCTTCTTCAAAAAAGGGCCGAGCTGCTAACCGCGTCGCGCGTGGCGGGTCCGCGAACGCACCAATCGCGTTCCCATCCTTGATGAGGTCCAAGAACAAGGATATGCAACGTGAATTGGACACGTTCTCTTGGACATCATCGCTGGCCGCCGGCTGGCTAAGCATGACCAAATGGGCGCTGGCGGCCGAACCGAAACCGCCAAAATGGCCTCGGACATCCCCGGGCGGCGCGGGCCGAAACAGACGCAAAACGTAGAAGACCGTGCGTCGCACTCGGGGGATGTCGGAACGTGGCGGGTGGTAGGAAGGCGCTCTGTGTGGGCCACTGCCGGGGCCGGGATGCACGTGGGGACCCGCAGGTGGCTTGGTGGCGGCGGGGGCAAAGCAGGGCCGTGGACTTCAAGCAAAGGGGTCTTGGCGGATGTGGGGCGACGCCCAATGGCGCTGAGGGCGACGGCCTCCACGTGGTCCTGCTGCCGGGAGCCTCCCTTTCTTCCGCTGGCAGGGCAGGAACCGCCCCCGTTGGATCAGTCCTCGGAGACAAGCTTCTGCCCAGTGCCGAAGATGCCGCATGATGTGGGGGCGGGGGTGGACATCGCGGAGGCATATCTGGCACGCCCCCCCAGGCCCAGCCAGGGACCCCGCGGGGTCTGCGGACTGGTGGGCTGTCGTCCTGCGGGACGTCCATGCGGCGGGCGTTTGGGCGACATGTTCACGCTCGTAGCGTGGATCAGCGACCGCCTGGTCTGGGGGAAGACGAGTCCGCGGCGGCGGAAGGGGCGGCCGCCTGGCACAGTGCCCGGAGGCGGGCTTGCCGTTGACGGAGGCGACAGTGGTGGGCCCGCCACCTCGCGTGTGCTGAGACAGCCGGACAGAGCAACCGCTTGTGATTTTGAGGCGGCCCCCTAGCGGTCTGGATCCATCCGCCGAGCTTCCCCCAGGAAAAAAAGCCATCTGATATCTTCCAAGAGCATCTGCACCCAAGAGTCCTTGTCATGGGCTATGAGATCCAGGAGTAACCGTAATTGTGGGGGGGCCTTGAGTAGCAAGTTAGGCACGTAGCGGAGTCTGATGCTGCGGATGCGAATCTCCACGGGGACCTCCCAAAGGTGCCCCAAAACGTCGTCGACCGAAGGCTGAGGGTCATCCGGCCTCGTCCGTAATCGGGCCGCCGCCTGAAGGCCCTTCAGATTCGCAGCCTGCAACGATTCGAAAGCATGCGCGTGCAGCTGGTGCCATGCCGCCACGTCGAGAAGAAATCGAGAAAACCACATAAGCTTCGTGGGAAGCGGCAGATGGGCGCGAGGAATAACTGAACGAATGAGCGGACCCAGGGCCAGGTGAAACCCCTGCTTCCGGTAGGCCACTTTGCTGTCGGGCGCGCCTGAACGATGGACCATGCTACCCAAATGCTTGTACCTGGAAATCAGGTTGACCGCTTGCCGGTACCTGGGCGAAAAACACCTGGCTGGGCGGGTAACGGCAGAGGTCCTTACGTGTTTCTCCTCCTCCTCTCTCTTCCTCCTCCTCCTCCTCCTTCCCCTCCTCCTCCTCCTCCTCCTCCTCCTCCTCCTCCTCCTCCTCCTCCTTTTCCTCTTCCTTTTCCTCCTCCTTTTCCTCCTCCTTTTCCTCCTCCTTTTCCTCCTCCTCCTCCTCCTCCTCATCGTCCTCCTCCTTTTCCTCCTCCTACTCCTCCTCCTGATCCTCCTCTGTCCTTCTTCCTGCGAGTGCGATGCCCCTCGAAGGCCCGCGCTGCCCGCGGATCCTGGGCGCGCAGCAGCGCGGCGCCGACCTCCGACCACCGCCGCTCCTTTCGGCGGCGCGCCGAGGAGGAGGAGGGAGGAGGAGGAGGAGGAGGAGGAGGAGGAGGAGGAGGAGGAGGAAGTGGAGGAGGAAGTGGAGGAGGAGGAGGTGGGAGGAGGAGGTGGCGGAGGAGGAGGAGCCGGAGGAGGACGAGGAGGGTAAGGAGAGGAGTAGGAGGAGGAAGAGGATGAGGAGGAGGAGGAGGACGAGGAGGAGGAGGAGGAGGACGAGGACGAGGAGGAGACGCGAGGAGGAGGAGGCGGAGGAGGAGGAGAAGGAGAAGCGAGGAGGAGGAGGATAAGGAAGACGAACATGATGACGATGATGCTGATGCTGCTGCTGTTGCTGATGATGATGATGATGCTGGTGATGATGATGGTGATGGTGGTGATGTTGATGCTGATGCTGATGATGATGATGATGCTGATGGTAATGAAGCTGAAGATTGTGATGAAGATGGTGATGATGATGCTGTTGATGATGATGCCCATGATGATGATGCTGATGATGATAACGTTGATGATGATGATGATGATGATGAGGAGGATGATGATGATGATGATGATGATGATGATGATGATGATGATGATGATGATGACGCTGCTGACGATGATGATGATGCTGATGATGATGCTCGTGATGATGATGGTGATGGTGGTGATGTTGATGCTGCTGCTGATGATAATGAAGCTGATGATGGTGATGAAGATGGTGATGATGATGCTTATGCTGATGCTGGTGGTGCTGCTGCTGCTGCTGATGATGATGATGATGACGATGATGACGATGATGACGATGACGACGATGAGCAGCGGCCTCTTTCAGAGAAGACCTCGAAAGCCTTCCGAGCGGGCCCGTCCCCTCAAGCCGCCCAGGTCCAGGGGCGAAGCGCGCCCTCTCGGAGCATGCCACGGGCTTGAGGCGCATGGAATCCTGGGCAACACCACGCTTCACGGAGGGGGTGTCGCAGCAAAGCGTGCCTGCGCACCGGGCGCACAAATTATTTGGACGCCCGAAATGGGTACGGAAAGAATGGGTACAGTGCCCAACAACAAGTGTTGTCCCAAACCAACAGCGGCCGCTGTTGGGCAGGCGGCCTTCTGTCTCGAATGGACACGGGCCGCGGCGGCGTGGACAGCGAGTCCTGTTCAGAATGAACAGCGAACTGCTGTTGGGCACTGTACCCGAGAGGAGGAGGAGGAGGAGGAGGAGGAGGAGGAGGAGGAGGAGGAGGACAAGGGGCCCTGTGCCGATCCGCGCTCGTCCGGCAGCAGCTCGAGCCCAGGGGGCAGACACGAGAGCCCCGCACGGGCCGCACGTGGTCCCCCCGCACGGGGCCTCCCGCCCTGCGAAGGCGGCACGTCTCCCTTCGCTCCCGAGGCCCCGACGTGGGGGGCCCAGAAATCTACACAGCCAGCACCTCCACCACCTCCCTCCCTCTCGCTGGAAAGATGAGAGAGGAGGACTCGACGTGGTGGTGGTGTCTATTCTTTGGGCCCCCCCCCGCGCGCCGCCGATCCTCGACCGCCGCCTGCTGCAGCAGGTCCAGGGCGAAGACGGCCGCGTAGGCCTCGGCCGCCGGGGCGCGCGGCGCACCCGCGGGCCGCGGGCCGGGCGGCCAGAGCGGCCCCAGCGCGGCCAGGCAGCCGCGGCGCGTGCCGTCGAGGTCCTGTCGCGAGGGGCCAGGATAGGAGGAGGAGGAGGAGGAGGAGGAGGAGGAGGATGAGGAGGGGGAGGAGGAGGAGGAGGATGAGGAGGGGGAGGAGGAGGAGGAGGAGGAGGAGGAGGAGGAGGAGGAGGAGGAGGAGGAGGGAGGGGGGATGGGCACAGGGGGGGATGCATCGACCTGGAATCGGCGATGCATCGTCGATGGATCGGTGATGGGCCCCCGAGAGTGGATCCGCACCTTCCTGGGCAGGTGGGGGCTATCGGGCCCCTGTCAGCGATCAATGGGCGATTGGGGGTCGATGCATCCCCCCCTATGCCTATCCCCCCCTATCGTTGCCCCTGATCTCGATGATCCTCAGAGCGCGTGTTAGCGCCAACGTCTTTGCCCATCGAGACCGTTCAACACGGCGCAGGTGATGTGATGATCTACCGGTATGGCTGAACGGAATGAACACACATTGCGCCAACACGCGTCCTGAGGATCGTCGGTCCTTTCTGGGCGGCGCGCCGAGGGGGGATAGCCTGTGAGTTTCGGGTTCGAGGCTCGAGGTGTTCGGGTGTCCTCGTCGGTTCTCGACGGCTTTCCAGCCTCGGGATGCGTTCCAGCGGCCGCGCCTCCCCGACAGCGTGCTGGGGGGGCCGGATCATCCCGAACGGCCGCCGGAAGGAAGTGTTCATGTGAGCCCGAGGATTGTTCGGGTGTTGCTGGAAGCGCCCTTGGCCCAAGGTGCCCCCAGGATTTCCAGGGGGGGGCCCACTGCCTACAGAGCATCCCTCACGAGGCCCAGAGGGCCCAAGGGGCTTCAAAATTAGGCGAAAGGCTGGGGGCACCTTGGGCCAGGGACACCTTTAGCACCTCCGAGTGATGGAACAAAAACCTTTCGGACCAAGAGTGATAGATGCTGGGGCGGCCCAAGATCGCCAGAACCGCGTCTCTCGGCATCTCGCGAATCATAGCAGGCAGCAACAACTGAACCGCCTCAACTTCGTCGCCGAGGCAGCTAATAAATCTTTCGCCTCCGGGAGCGCTGTCCCCTCCCCTCCCCTCCCCCCGAGAGAGAACTGGGGGGGTCCTCCCCTTCTGATCCCTGGGCTGACATTTGGAGACAGCTTCTGGGAGGTCTTCGCGACAACGGCTGAGAAAGCTGTAAGGCCTGATCAGGGGGCAATTCGGCCGCACGAGGCCGGATGACGCCTGGGATCAGGCCGGATCCAATCGACTACGCGCAAGAGTGACCCTAAGAGTGACCTCTGGTGTGCGGCTTCGGGAAGGGGAGCGCGGGGGGGCCAGAACCAGGCGCGCACGCAGCCGCTGCCGCTTCACGCTCGGCGACCGGGGGACCCCCTTGGGCCCGCACCACAGGCCACTCCGGCGAGAGGTCACAGCTTCGCGCAGACGAGCTGAATCCCACAGGGGCCCGAGACCGCTCGGTCTGGAGGAGGTGCAGCAGCCGTTTCGCCCGAGACTTCCTCACAGTGTCGCATGGAGTCGTGCTCTCGCCTCGATGCCAGCGACACTCTCGGTCTGGACGGCCCCGATCACGAGCAGAAAAGATACAGCAAGGTCCACGTGGCCGTGCTCTCACCCCGTCCCGTATATAGCCGACCCACTCCTCGACCCGCCTCTTCAGCTGTGCTGCCATGAGAGCTTCGGGTGCCCTGGCAGGGGCGACTTCCTGGTCCTGGGGCACTGGGAGGGCGCCGAGGGGGGCCAGAAACGGCGAAAGACATCGGGCCCGCTTCCCTCAGGCCCCTTCCGCGCCACAGGCGCCCAAGCGGGGGCGTCTTCGAGGGGACCGTCTAGTCGATCTAATGGGACTGGGCGGGATGGTGCCGGCTGCGGCCGGCCGTTGACCGCGCCAGGCACCCGCGGGCGCGTGCCGTCGTGTTTATTTCCGTGGGGTCGGACTGAGGCCCGGCCAACCAGCCCTGCCCCCCTCGCCTCGTGACACAGAAAAGAACGACGGAGGTTTCTCTCTGCGATGTTCGGCCTCCAGGGGCCCTCGCAAGGGCCCCCAAACCAGGAAAAAACGACTCAGGATGAAAAGCCGGTCCTTGGGAATGGGTCGAGGCCTCCGGGGGATCTCTCTCTCTCTCTCTCTCTCTCGGCGGCGCGCCGAGGGGGATAGCTTGGGAGTTTCGGGTTCGAGGCTCGAGGTTACTGGGCGTCTTCGTCGGTTCTCGACGGCTTTCCAGCCCCGGATACGTTCCAGCGGCTGCGCCTCGCCGACAGCGCTATGACACACAAAAAACCGCCAAGCGCCCGAGGGCAAATCTCCACGGAAGGCGGGCGTCGCAGAAGCCCTCTGGGCCTTCTGAAAGGCCACCCGAGCCACGAGAAGAAACGGGTCTTACCCGAGATGGCACAGCAACCTTAACGCGGTGGCTTACACGGGCCGCCAGCAAGGCACGCCACGTTGGACACGAGGCTCTTACGCGCCAAGGCACGCGGCAGAGCTTACACGCCAAAGTCGGCGCAGTCGACCCCATGTTCGACCCTGGGCGCGCCTCTGGCACGCCCCGAAGAGGTACGGAACAAATACTACGGTGCTCAACATCAAATGTTGTGCGTGACCGACATCGGTCCCTGTTGGGCAAACGTCCACGTGTCCTAAACGGACAACGTCCGCAGCGACACCGACAACGAGTCTTGCTCAACATGAGCAAGATCTGGATCGTATCGAATTCAGCTCGGGTTGCTACTGACACCAGTCAATGCAAACCTGGTCAGACAAGCTTCGCAAGATCCTACAACATCCCGCAACATCCTGCAACATCCTGCACGCAAGCCCGGGTCAATGCACCCCTGGCTTTGCACGATCCTGCAAATCCCGCGCTCTGGCTGACACCCATCTGCATTGAACTCCGTCTCAAGGCTCACGATGTTGTCCGTACCCATCTCGATCGAACCTAAATCAGCTGACGCGTCCGGTTTTCCCGACGCCTCCTGGCGACGGAGGCGCCCATGCATCGAAGTACGCGCCAAACGACGGGGCCCAAAGCAATGGCACGTAACAGATTCCGCACCCCCACCTTCGCTATCACCCCCGCTAGCTCGCCCCATTGTTAATTATTACGATTGTTGTTATTATCATTAGTACTACTATACGCACCACGATTGTAGATTATTCGCATGATTACTATTCGCAGTCATACTTGTAGTATCATTCGCATTAGCATTGATATTCGTATTGGTACGAATCGTAAGATCACCATTCGCATTATCAGCATTCGCATTCGTAGTATTAGTCTTAGTGTTGAATTATACTAGTATGAGTACTACTATTATCATTGCTAGTACTATTACTATTCGTAGTTTTAGTATTCGTACTCGAATTACCTGTACTATTATTAGTATGAGTGCTCTTCTTATTACTCTTATGAATATCGTTCGTCGTAGTATCATTATCGTTATCATGGGTAGTATGATTCCTACTATGAGTGTTATTGTTGAAACGAGCATTCGCATTAATAGTTGCATTCGAATGAGTAATATTATTGTTACTCGTAGTATTATCATGTGTCTTATTATTATCATTATTCCTGGTTGAATGAGACACGTCTTTCGGTAACGGTCGTTACCCGGGGGAGGGGGGGGGCGGGCAGCAGCAACACTTGACGAGCAGGGACACGTCGGGGCGGGGGTGCGCCGCGATCGTCCCATTTTGCGCTTGGGCCCAAACACGTAGGACCAGGACCCCACCCCTACGAATTGTCGTTGCCGCTACCTGGGGGGCGGGGTTCCCCCAATCATTTGGGGAGGGGCCGACCGCCCCAGCATTCCTGTACGCCTGCCGCGACATGTTCTTAGCATTAAAGAAAGTCGAAGAACCGTAGCACGATCCTCGGAAAGTGGAAAGCCGATGTATTGAAACAGGACAACCCCTGACCATACATGTTCGAATCGCATGTCGTGCAATCCACGACATGATATTCGAACACTCGCTCTCTAGGCAGACCAGGACGCTTCGCCAGTGCTTGAATCCTTGATCTGCCAGCAAGTGTCGGCCAAGCACAAGTACACGCCCTGGTCGGGAATCTACTGACCCGGGTCAATGCAAACCCGGGCCAGCCACGCTTTGCAGGATCTTGCAACATCTTGCAGGATCCTGCACGCAAGCCTCGGTCAGCGCACCCCTGGCTGTGCAGGATCGTGCAAGATCGAGCGCTCTGACTGACCCCCGTTGGCGTTGACCGCTGTCTTCTGAATCAGCTACACACAACGAGCGACCTTGGGTAACAATGACCATTGGTGCGCGGCGTTTTGGGGCCGCGGGGGGACCAAACACAGGCGCGCAGGACGCTGCTATCGCATCGCATTCGGCGATCGCGGGACCCCAATGGGCCCGCACCAAAGGCCACTCTGGCGAAGGGTCACTCCTGCGCGTAACCGATTGAGCTCCGACCTGGGGGCACCCGACGCAGCATGGCCACACTGCCAGCACCTCCTCGCAGCCGAACAGGCAGCGCCTCGACTCCAGCAGGTGGCGGCACGCGGCGGGGTCGAGACCCTCCTCTGGGGTCGGAAGGAACGTCGGAAGGAACGTGGGCATAAACACCATTGGTTTTGTTGCGACGCGCGCGCTGAGCGGTCGTGGCGCCGCGCGGAGGCGCCTAACGCCTCGAGAGCCGGCGGCCGCATACCCTGAACAACACAGTAAAGCAATAACGCCCTCCTTCCCCTCCTCCTCCTCCTCCTCCTCCTCCTCCTCTTCCCCTTCTCCTCCTCCTCCTCCTCCTCCCTCCTGCATCCTCGAAATAAAATTCGCAAGCGATTGACCAGGACGAGTTCGCACGGAGCGTCCCGGAGCGTTCCCGATCGGCGGCACAGGCCCGAGGGCTCCACAATGATAGAGGTACGTAGCATGATCTATGATCCGCCAACGTACGTGCACGATGTAGACGTGTTAGAATGCTACGTCATGTAAGGCTTCTGTACCCTAAGAAGATACACCCCCCCATCGTGTCCTGGCGTGTCGCGTGCGCCCCTCCCCTCCCGAGGCCACGATCCCTCGTAAAGCAAGGATGGGTCCGCGCTCCCGAGGCCACGATCCCTCGTAAAAGTAGCAGGGCGAAGGATCCTACCATGTGCAGTTGTGAATACTGCAGTTGGGGGTATCGCGGTCGGTGAAGCTCCCTATGGGGCCACGAAGCGCTGTGCTGGGTGGGGGGGGGGGGACGCATGCGGACCGCGCCACTGGAGCATTCGGTGGAGTTCCCCATGGGGCCACGAAGCGTTGTACTGAGAGGGGGAGACGCATGCGAACTGCGCCGTTGGGACTTTCGGTGGAGTTCCCTCTGGGGCCACGAAAAGCTGTGCAGGGTGAGGGAAACGCATGCGAACTGCGCCACTGGGGCCTTTGGTGGACCTCCCCCTGGGACCACGAAGTGCTGTACTGGGTGGCGGAGACGCATGCGAAGTGCGCCAATGGAACCTTCGGTGGAGCTCCTTCTGGGGCGACGAAGCGCTGTACTGGGTGGGGGGACGCATGCGAACTGCGCCATTGGAACATTCGGTGGAGCTCCCTACGCGGCCACGACATGATGTGCTGGGTGGGACAAACGCATGCGAACTGCGCCGCTGGGACCTTAGGTGGAGTTCCCTATGGGGCAAAGAAGCGCTGGATGGGGGAGACGCGTGCGAACTGAGGAGGGGGAGGGGGAGGAGAAGAGAGGAGAGGAGAGGAGGGGGAACGCGGGGCGCTGTCTCTTCATAACGATGACCCAATACCACAATATGGATGGAACAAAAATGGATACGCGTCCCGAATTTCCAAAACGGCCCACGCAGACAACCAAAGACACCAGGATAGCCCAGAAAGCCTCGAAGACGGGCCAGGATGGTCCCAAAGAGGCAAACCATATGGCCGCAAGACGGCCCAAACTGCATCTAAAAGGCACAAGAAGAGGACCTCCCAAAAAATCCGACGAAACCGAACTCATGAATGTCCCGCTGATGCTTGAAGGAGTATTGCGGTCTCGCCTTTCGGGCTTCGATCAGCCCAAAACGGCCCAAAAAGCCTCCAAGAATGTCGCATGACGGCCCAAGAGGCCCCGTCGCGGGCCCACGAAAACCAAAAAAGCATCCAAGACGGCCCCAACACGGGCCTCCCGTGGGATCCAAAACACCCCACATACGGCCAGGAGGGCCCGATGACGGCCCAATTAGGCCCGGAGAAGGGCCCCAAAACAGCTCAAGAGGGCCCCCGCGGGAGCCCCAAGACTGCCTCACATAAGGCCAACACAACTCCAAGACGGCGCAACCGAACTCCATGGGAGCCCCTTCCAACAATGAAAACGACATATGCCGCATGTAACGACCTTCGTTTTCCTCTTCCTCCTGCTCCCCATCGTCGTCGTCACCGTCACCATCACAACCATTGCGATGATGACGATGACCACCATCATCATCAACATCATCATCATGCTGGCTGCTCTTTTCCAAACTACTGCTTGCGGAGACCGAGTGAACACGCACACTCGACACTGCCTCAGCGTTTTGGGGGTGGAAAGGTTCTGGGTGAACCAGAAAGCCTGCAGAGCGGAAGAAGCGGACACAAAGGCCAGATCATTCCCGTGGGGCACAAACATGATGCTGGCTGCTTTTTTCCGAACTACTGCTTGCGGAGACCGAGTGGGCACGCGCAATCGACGCTGCCCACATGCAGCCTCCAGCAATCAGCACCGGTCTGGCCAATTGATTCGACGCCAAGGCCTACAACAATCTTGCAAACAGAAAATTATCCCCCCGAGGCCCCCGAAGTAAGAGGGGCGAGAGGGGGCAAAGGAGGCGAGGACGGGCCACTGGGCATGGACGCGCAAGAAGCTAAGGGAGGTAGCGAAAGCCTGGGATAATACCTCACAGAGCTTCTCGAGATAAACCTGTTTTTTTCCGAATAAGAAATACTCCAGAACCAATGGGCGCATCGAGTTGAAGATGCGATTTCCCGGAGAGCATACATACACCGCGACCCAGACAATTCGCTTGAAGGAGGACAAGGCATTTACAACACAACAGCCGGAGCCTGGCCCGAGCACGCCAGGCTGCGCCAGACGCGCAGTAGTCAACTACAGATTGTGCACACGCCCTGCGTTGACAATGAATGGGTCGATCGTATACTGACCAGAGAAAAGATTAAGCTAGATTCTCTTCACCGCAAGGAATACCACGATCTATACAGAATTTTAGCAACGCCCCGCTACGCTGCGCCAGAAGATTCCCTTCCGACACAAATGACCGATCTTTGTCGCATAGATTTGGCAAACCATGCGGGCACTCTTGGGCGCGCAGCCAATGAGGTAGCTGCGACCACTGAGGGGCACGCGTAGCCGCCGCGAGCGACTGGCACGGGGTCCCTGACCACAGTCCTGACACGACGCCTGATCGAATCCAACCCATCAACGTGTGAAGGACATCGTCACACAATAGGTCACACTGAGCCCCGTGGACAATTTAGACGCACACGACCGCGACATTACGGCGCGCCAGGGCACGCGCCAAGGCTCCCGAACCAAAGAACACATCTAGGACTGCTCTCCGTAATGCAGGCTGCGGCTGTGCAAGGGCCTCGCGCAGCGCGCGGCGGAGGGCGCGACGCCGCGCTCCACTGGCATGGCGATATCCGCAGGTCGCGCCGCCGGCAGCTCGCCGAGCTGCAAGGAGGCCACGGCAGGCTGGTCGCACCGAGCCGCAATCTGGGGGCTGCGCCAGTGCCCCGGCTGCTGCCCCTCGGGGAGCGAGCGCGCCTGCGCGAGGAGGTCGTGACTGGCTCGCCCTTGCCGCCGCGCGTAGAACGTCGGCTCGACCGAGTAGGCCCCCAGCGGCTCCATTGCGTCCACGAAAGAGCAGTGCCACTGCCTGGGGCTGACGTCGAGCAGGCGCTCGGGCTGGCCGAGGTCCACCAGCACCCTGACGTCGAACTCCTGCGTCTCTATCGGGCGGCCGGGCTCCTTCGCGCGCACCCCGGAGACCCGGTTGGTTCCAGGCTCCTCTGGGCTCGAAGGGAGGATGAGCGGCGCCGCCGAGAGGCTCAGCAGCGAGAGCGACCGCAGGTACGTCACGAACAGCACAATGACGGCCAGCGCCCCGATCGGGCGCGCGGCCTGCGCCACCTCGACAAACGCCCGGAAGCCCTGATCCCCTTGCGGAGCCGACCAGCGAGGCAGCGACAGCTTCGCGAGGAAGGGGCCCAGGTGCGCCAGCCCGTCGCCGTAGCCCCGCTGCGTGGTGGGTCTCGCCCGCCCCCGCTGCAACGCTGCGAGGGCTGGCGCTACGCGTCGCGGTCGCTGTCGGACCTCCTCGCGGGCCCGCGCCAGAGGGTTGGAGGCCTGGGGGCCTCCTGGCCAGAGGCTGCCACGCGAGGGCCCCGCGGCCTGCCGCCAGCTCGGGCGCGCTGGGAGGCCCCGCGGACGCTTGGCCCAGCGTTCGCGCCACGAGCATGGAGCGAGGCCAAGCGCGCCGGCACAGCGCGTTGAAGCAGCCCAGGCCCGCTCGTCGGAGACGGAAGGGTACGCGCCCCGCGGCTGCGCCGCCGGGCACGAGGCGGCACTTGACGACCTCCCCCAGCGCCCGCGGCCTGCCATGCCGAGGCTGGAACACCCGACTGGCAGCGCCCGAAGCATTCCGCTCAGGCGGCACCAAACGATCCGCCAGTTTGAACCCAACGGCCGGGCAGAAGGCGGCCGACATCCGACGCTGGAAATTCATCGCAGGATTCGACGAGCGGCCCTTTGCATGTGCACAGATCACCGACATGTTATCACCCAGGACGAGCGCCCGAGATTCCTGACGACTGCAGTCACGAGAAGGGTGTCGCACAATCCAAGTCCGAGCTCTCGCCTCCAGCTGGAACTGAGACCCGCCCCCCCCCCCCCCCCCCCCGCGACCAGCATGGTGCCGCCTCCCAGCATGGACCTTGGCAAACTCTCTCACGCGCCCGAGATCCAAGACCCCCTCCTCCGACGCCTGCGAGACACAGACCTCCCCCTCATGGTCAAGGGCCCGTGAACGGGGAGCCCCCGGGACACTAGACAGCCCCCGAAAGCGGGCACGTTCCCGATCGCGACCAGCGACCGCGACCTCCTCGAGGGGGCATCGCAGGCAGCCAACCCCGAAACCCCAGGCAGACGCGTCAGAACCAAAGACCCGACCTCGCCAGGGACGTCGCATACAAGATCGAGCCAGAGGGAGGAGGGCGCGAATCCAGCGGACTTCACGCGCAACCGAGGGCCACGAGGGTTGTCGCTGAACGTAGCTGTCCTGTATGAACGCATGCACTTCCTCCACAACGCACAATGGCTCGGGGGCCAACGAGAAGGGCGGCGACGTGACCCACGAACCTCTCTAACTCCTGCCCCGCAACCTTCCCGCCGCTTTCCAGTGGATGATCTCACGCGAGCTTCGCCGCCCCAAAGCGACTGGCCTTAGGGCGCCACTCCCGCTTCGACCCCGCGAGCGCGAAGCCGCTGAAGTCGCGGCCCCCGGGGCTCGCGGTCTCCAACGACGAAGCGACCCTCCCCCCCTTCCAGTTTCTCACCCCCGCGACGGCATTCTCCGCGACGACGGGGTCCACGCTCAGATACGCGAGGTTATCGATGTACAATCCGCGCAGCGACCCGATGTCGCCAAAGGGTGAGAGGTGCCTTGTCTAAAATCCACGGGGCCTCGGGGCTCGCGTCTCTAAATTGGCGGGCATTAGCCGCCTGTGCGAGAGCCGCGGCGCAGTTCCACCCCATCGGCGTCACGCGGGCGCGGGAGCGAGCCCGCCCGCGATGTCGAGCAGCCTCCGGCAATGCAGCAACGAAGTGAGCGGGGGGGCGGGCCGCGGGGATCAAGGGCAGGCCGAAAAAAAACACATGTACTGGCGAGGGAGCTCCAAGTGGCACTAGCAAACTTTACCCCCCCCCCCCCCCCCCACCACCCCCCACCCCACCCCACCACCACCCCCCCACCCCCCCCATGCAAAACGGAGATTGCCTGGGGCGCACATTCAAAATGGGCAAGAGCTCCCCCCGAAGGCAGGACGATTCCAGGAGGCTCCTTCAACCAAAGGCTGGGAACGCGGGCATCCCAGATCATTCGGGGTGCACCAGATTTTTGGCGCACGAAAAACATGTCACTCTCATCGAGCACATCCTCGATGGCCTCCAAAACGCCAGCGCCCCAAAGTTCAGCAGCGAATTCTCCGGACCGTCTAGGCTGATCCCGAGGGACAGGATCCAGGAAGAAGTTGCCTCCAAAATCTTGCTTTCGAGCAGCAACCCTCTCGGCAGCTAAAAGGGTTGAGCGATCTTCATGCGCGGACTGCAGGGCGGCAGGTAAGTGCTCGCTCAGCGGCACCAGGCCTGGGCGCCCCGCGGGAAGCGACGCGTTCCCTCGCTCGAAGTTTACACGGGCACCGACGGCTAGCGCGGCCTCCGCGTAGCCGGGCCGCGTGCTCTGGAGCGCCTGCCACGCCCCCAGGGAGCTCCCACAATCAGGTGGAGGGGGAGCCACTGACCCATATTGCCGAGCGAGATGGCGGACAGCTGAGACCTGCGCAGCGGTCAACGAAGCGGGCGAAACAGAAATAATATCCGAAGCGCCCAGCTCGTTCAAGGCTCGGATACCATAGAAGAGCCATCCCTCCTGTGCTCGACGGCGCCGAAACCGACGCCGCTGACTCTGCGAAAGCCCCGCGCCGCTGGATCCTCCCAGCATAACTTCTGCGGCGGCAGCCAGGGAAATGGGCAGGACGCCCCGCTGACACGTCATGTGGAGCTTGAAAAACCTCATGGCAGCACCCACCGCCGATCCCTGAACCCCTGCGGCGCGCCCTCGAGGAGGCGGGACAGACCCGCTCGCGGCGGCGCAAGAACGAGGGGGGGCGACGGTCAAGCTCGACCACCTCCTCCCTGATCACCCCTCTTCTCCATGGCGGCCTGCTTCGCCGACGGGGCGTCGATGCCCTGGGACAGGGCGGCCTTCTCCCGCGCCTTGCGGCACTCCTTCAGGACAGCCGCGCGGGTGGTGGGCTCCATCACCACGAAGCCGTCCAACTCTGGCATCACGATAAAGCTGCTGCGCAGGCTCTCGACGCCCAGGGACAGCGAGCGCTCGATGAGCCAGTCGTCGCCATCGGCGGGGCCCGCGCCCATCTGGCGCAGGGGATCCTCGTATGCGCTCTCCCACATCTGGTGGCGGCGAATATTCAACTCGAAAGTCACCAGGGCGCCGACCTGACCAAAGTCAATCGTCAGCACAACCTCCATCAACTGGGACAGCGGCCAGTGTTCGTCAACCACCTCAGCCGCCAATCCCAGCGCGTAGCGCCACCCGTAGTACTGCTGAACAGGCTCATAGTTCTCCTCGTGGATGCGGACTGCCGCGCGGCGAGTCAAACTTGGCCCTTTAATCTCCCAGTTGGTGCCGAAGTCGACCTCACTCCTGGCGTGCCAAGCGCCCGAAGACGAGCGACGGGGACAGCGTGCCCAGTCCCTCTCTGCGAACAGGATGCGCGACGCCTCCGCCGCCACTGGTCCCGCAAGTTCCGCCGAGCCCTCGAGACCATCCCCCGGCACCGTGTCGTTCGTCAGCGGGGACGGGCACCTGTCGGCGGTGACGTGGGGCCACTCGCCCATATGCGCCAGCACCGCCTCGCCAACGTCCATGTAGTACTGGGGACCCTTCCCGAACGTGAAGCAGACGGGGAGGAACGCTGGCGACCCCCGAACCGCGGCAGGCACCGCACCTCCCGTACCGAACTTCTGAGGCCCGTCACTCTCGCCCAAAATTTGTTCGAAGATGTCGAAGTCCCGCGAAGAGACGACCCAATTGGTGTACACGAGGCGGGCCAGCAGAACCCGCTCAGGACATCCCACCGCCGCCTCGCCCGCGCCAAAGAGGGAGCAGACGAGGACCAGCACAACGACCTCCAGGTGTTGAACCCCCGCGGGCGTGGCCATTGTCACTGTCCGTGGTGGGGCAGTCGACGAACACGCGCGAGGACGTCGTGGACTGGATCAGGCCGCGCCCGACACTCACACCAGAGAGGAAGGCGACCGCCAGCACGACATGGCGAGGACGGACAGGCACAAGGCGCCCCAGCTGCCTCCGCCGCCAGTGGCCTCACGTGGCAGTCACACTGGCACACGCACTACGAGGGGCGACTCCCCCGCTCGGCCAGCAGGAGGCACTCGCCCGTCACGGCAGGCTGGGACGGAGGCCCTCCGATGGCAATCCACGGGCGACAGGAGGCCAGGTATCGGAAGAGGGCCACTCTCGAAGGGCTGAGAGAGTGGCCAGCAGAAAGCCGAAGGCCTCCCTTCACTCCTGAACCAAAAAGCCTGCAGCGCGGAAGAAGCGGATGCAAAGGCCAGATCATTCCCGCGGGGCACAAACATCATCATCCGCATCATCATCACCATCACCATCATCGCCGTTATTAGCATCATCAGCAGCATCAGCATCAGCATCAGCATCAGCATCAGCATCAGCATCAGCATCATCATCATCATCATCATCATCATCATCATCATCATCATCATCATCATCATCATCATCATCGTCGTCGTCATCGTCATCGTCATGATCATCACCACCACCATCCACATCATCACCAGCACTAGCACCAACCACCATCATGACCATGATCTTGATTATGATACACATCATCATGATCATCACTATCATTAGATTCTTCATCACCATCAGCATCAGTATCACCATCATGATTCGTATAACCATCAGCATCATCATCCTTACCCTTCATCACCACCATCATCGACATCGTCGACATCATCATCATCATCATCATCATCCTAATCAACATCAGCCGCATTTTATCATGCTCCTCATCATCATCATTAGCTTCGTCCTCAGGCTCATCCTCATCATTATCTTCAACATCACCCGCATCAGCATCCCAATCATCATCCACATCAGGATCCTTATCAACACCGCGATCATCGTCATAATCGTCGTCAGCATCGAACTCGTCATCATCAATACTATCCTCACAACCATCTCGAGATGCATCAATATCAGCATCAGCATCATCATGAGCATGAGCATGGGCATGAGGCTGAACATGATCATGACCAGTAGCATCACCATCATCATCAACATCATCATAATAATAATAATCATCATCATCATCATCATCATCATCATCATCATCATCATCATCATCATCATCATCATCATCATCATCATCATCATCACAAAACTCAAAATCAAATCAACCAGCATCATAACCGTCATCGCCATCAGCATCATCATCGGTATATCCCCAGCCTAAAGACACGAAGTCCTACACGTGGTGAGGCCCCTGGCCCGTCGAACATGCACCACCCAGAATGCCAGGCTGGCGCGGTGGCGGGACACCGAGGCTGGAAAACTGCCGAGAACCGACGAGAACGCCCGAAAACCTTGAGCACCGAAGCTTCGACCGCCCTGAGCCTACTCCAGATTTCGTAATAAAAGGGAGGGGGTCTGGACCCTCCAGGAGACGCCATTTCAGACCTCCCCCGTGGGAGAACCCTCCAAAACATCGTCCCCAGACCCCCCCAGGCCCTCCAAGATAGCCTGGAAAAGACCCCCCCCGAAATGAGACCCCGCTCCCTTTCTTACGAAATCTGGAGTATTCCCCCCCCTGGTGTAACCGACCTGGGCCTACCCGACCGACAGCTCCCCGGTGGTCTTTGGGCCACACGTCGGGCCACCGGCGACCCGACGGAGGGCGACTGGGACTCCCCCACCGGCGTGCCCCCGACGAGGCGCGGCCGTGTATAAAAGCACCTCATGGGGGGCTGGAAGACCTCCGGGCACTGCCGAAAATCCCCCCGGAGCCAGGAATTGTTCTTCTTCTTCTTCTTCGAGTCGAGGGGGAGGAGGGAGGGAGGGAGGGAGGGAGGAGGGAGGAGGGAGGAGGGGAAAGGGAGAAGGGCGGAAGAGGATCCTCCTGCACCTGCCGCTGCCCCGCCAGTCGCAGGGACTCGGCGCGCTTCTGCAGCCAGAGGCACCTCCAGGGGCACAGAAGTCGGCAGGAGCATCAACCTTCAGAGCTCCACAGATCTATTGGTTCTGCGCTTCACCCGCCTCCCTGGCGCGCGGAGCGCGACAGGGTCGGCGCTAGCGGTGCCCCCAGGAGCTCCGAAAATCTATGTTCATGCCGACTCTTCGGGAGGACGTAAAGGTGGGGTAGGGGCAGAGGTGGGATTTGAGGAACCTCGCTCCACATGCCCCTGGAAGAACAAAACAAATGAGCATCCAGCTGGCTTCGTCCCCCAGCCCCACCCTGGGAGAACCCCCCCTTCTACGATTGGGGAGGGTGAACGGACAGGACAGATGGAAAAGGGCAGGGTAGAGAATCGGCTCACGTAGCTGGTTTTCCTGGCGCCCCTTGGCGCTGGGAGGCGCCCCTGTATCGAGGAATGGGCCCAGCGGCGGGGCGGAAACCAGCTGCACGCAGAAGATCTCTTAACCCCTCCCTTCCCTGTCCCCTCCCCTGCGTCCGGCCCGATAAGAACTCCCGATCGTGCCGACGTTTGTCCCTCGCGCCTTGCAGACGCCCAGGCCGGGTCCCGGAGCCAGCGGTCGCGCCAGGCGGGCGCCTCGCAGATCACGCGGGCGCGTTCGGAGAGCCTCCAGGCCGCCTCCAAGCCTTGCTCGCGCAGCTGCTCCTGTCCAGCCGGCGCGCGCAAGGGGCGGTGCGGGGGGGGCCACCTTTTAAGGAGGCGGAGGAGCTTCTACAGTCAAGACGCAGAGATCCGCCACCGTGCCTGCGAGGCACAAGCTGGAGTGTCCGAAGGTCCCTTGCTCATCCCCCTGAGCCTCAGCCCCCAATCCTGAGAATCTTTTAAAGGGTCCGACCCCCAAAATATCAAATCTTCTGGGGCTCCCGGCGCGCTCTGTGCGCTTTCCTGCGCTACGTTGTCGGGCACCAAACGACAAACAGGCCAAGAGGACCCCGGGAGGCCTCTGACCTGCAGCCAAGGCAAAATAGCGGGATGGACCGAAGGCTATAAGACCTGGGGTCGGCACGGGAACGGAAAGAGCGTTTCAGCAACCTACCCGAGATGGCTCATGACACCCTTCGCTCTTTGGAGCATTGGTGTTAAGAACTAGTTACGTCACCGCTCTCTGTTGGGAGCCCTGGTGTTCAGAGAATTTTACGTTGCCGCCCGTTCTTGGGCCTTGGTGTCAAGAGCTTGTTGCGTCACCGCTCGTTCTTGGGAGCCATGCTGGGAAGAGTTTGTTGCGGCACCGCTCTCTGTTCAGAGTCCTCGTGCTCAGAGGTGCTTACGTTGCCGCTCGCTCTCGGGAGCCTTGCTGGTAAGAGCTTGTTGCGTCACCGCTCGCTCTTGGGAGCCTTGCCGGTAAGCACGTGCTACGTCACCGCTCTCAGTTGGGAGCCTTGCTCCTCCTCCTCCTCCTCTTCCTCTCCTCCTCCTCCTCCTCCCCTCCTCCTCCTCTTCCTCCTCCTCCTCCTCCTCTTCCTCCTCCTCCCTCGTTCTCGTCCGTTCCCTCCACCTATTTTTCTCCTTCTCCTCATGTTCCTCCTCCTCCTCCTCCTCCTCCTCCTCCTCCTCCTCCTCCACCTCCTCCTCCTCCTCCTCCTCCTCCTCCTCTCCTCCTCCTCTCCTCCTCCTCCTCCTCTTCCTCCTCTCCTCCTCCTCCCCCTCTTCCTCCTCCTCCTCGCTCGTCCTCGTCCTTTTCCTCCAACTACTTTTCTCCTTCTCCTCATGTTCCTCCTCCTCCTCCTTTTCTCCTCCTCCTCCACCTCCTCTCCCTCCTCCTCCTCCTCCTCCTCCTCCTCCTCCGCCTCCTCCTCTTCCTCCTTCTCTTCCTCCTCCTCCTCCTCCTCCTTTCCTCCGCCTCTTCCTCCTCCTCCTCCTCTCCTCCTCCTGCTCCTCCTCCTCCTCCTCCTCCCTCCTCCTCCTCCTCCTCCTCCTCCTCCTCCTCCCTGGCCTCGTCCTGGTTCCTCCTCCTCCTCCTCCCCTCCTCCTCCTCTCCTCCTCCTCCTCCTCCTCCTCCTCCTCCTCCTCCTCCTCCCCTCCTTCCTCCTTCCTCCTCCTCCACCTCCTCCTCCTCCTCCTCCTCCTCCTTCCTCTTCCTCCTCCTCCTCCTCCTCCTTCCTCCTCCTCCTCCTCCTCCTCTTCGTCGTCGTCGTCCTCCTCCTCCTCCTTCCTCCTCCTTCCTCCTCCGCCTCCTCATCCCCCTCCTCCTGGGGCCCGCTTGGGAGCCTCTTGGGGCCCTCTCGGGGCTCTCTTGGGGCCGTCTGGGGGCCCTCGTGGGCGCTGTCGGGGCCCTCTTGGACCGTTTTCGGCCCCTGTGGGGAGCCCGTGAAGCCGTCTTGGGACGATCTTTGGGGCCTCTTGGGCCGTCTTGGGCCCGTCTAAGGGCCCTCTTGGACCGTTTTGGGCGTCTTTGGGGCGCCTCTGGAGCCGTCTTGGGACGATCTTTGGGGCCTCGTGGGCCGTCTGGGGTCTTTCTGGGACGAAAAAGGGGAGAACCCCAAACACATGCAAAAACCCTAAGGAGATCTCGGTGTTTGGCCTCCTGAGGCCCTCTCGGGGTCCCTCTTGAGGGCCTCTGGAGCTGTCTCGAGACTCTCTTGGACTGTCTAGCGGCCGTCTCGAGGCTCTCTTCGACCGTCTGGAGGCCATTTGAGGCTCTCTCGGGACCGTCTTTGGGCCATTGGGGGGCCCTCTTGGGACGTCTTGGGGCCCTCTTGCCGTTTCGCTCGAACAAAGACGAGGAAATGGGCCATGAAAGGCGCCCGAGCCGCTTCACTAGAAAAAATACGAGGGAAGCGGCCCCCAACGGCCATGACAACCATCCCCCCCATCCTCGCCCCTCCCCTGGACCCCTCCCTACAGGGCTTCGCCCCACTCAAAAACGTCATCACTCGTACCTCGCTCTTTCCGTTACCTGGACCGGCACGGGAACGGAAAGAGCGCTGCAGGAACTGACCCGAGATGGCTCCAGGCCTTTCGCTCTGGGGAGCCTTGGCGTGAAGAGCTTGTTGCGTCATCGCTCTCTGTTGGGAGCCTTGGTATTCAGAGACTTGTACATTGCCGCTCGCTCTTGAAAGAGCCTTGTTGTTCAGAGCTCGTTACATCACCGCGCTCTGGGGAGCATTGGTGTTCAGAGCTTGTTACGTCACCGCTCGCTGTGGGGAGCCATGGTATTCCTTGGCGTCTCTGGGGCTTTTTGGGTGTCTCTTGGGGGCCCTTTGGGACCGTTTTGGGACTCTTGGAGCCAGCCCAGTCCCCACCCAAGCAGCCCAGTCCCCACACCGCCTCTTCGGGCCCTCTGGGGGCACTCTTGGGGCCATCTTGGTGCTCTCGTGGGGCCGTCTTGGGGCCAGCCCATTCCCAACACCCAAGCAGCCCAGACCCCGTACCGCCTCTTTGGGCCCTCTTGAGAGCCTCTTGAGGCCGGTGCGCCCACTCGGGGCTCCCTTGGGAGCCTCTGTAGGGGCCATCTTGGGCTGTCTTGCGGCCCTCTGGGGCCGTCCAGGGGGCCTCTTGGGGCGCCTTAGGGTCCTCTTGGGCTATCTGGTGACGATCTTTGGGGCTGCTTCGGCCGTCCTGGGCCGTCGGAAGCCCGAAAAAGCAAAAATCCCCCCAAACATCAGACAACCGACAGGGATTTGTTTGACCCTCCTCAGGATCCTGCTGGGGCCCTGTTGGGCCCTCTTGGGGACGGCAGAAAGCGCTGTTTCCGACGGTCCAAGTCGGACCCGTCGGGCACCAAGATGGCCCCAAAAGCGTCCAGGAGGCCTCAGGGATGGCTCCCAGACGGCACAAGATGCCATCAAAATGGCTCCAAGAAGACCTCAAGATGGCCCAGGAGGCCTCCCAAGACGCCCAAGATGGTCTCCAAGATGGCTCTGAAGCGGCCCAATGGGGGCCCCAATGTGGCTCAGAGAAACTCCCAGGACTGTTTCCGACGGTGTCAGACGCGCCCTCATACAACGAAACTCACGGAGCCTCCAAACGCCCCCCCGAGGCCCAAGGAAACCCCCAAGAAGACTCCTAGAGGCCCTCATGAAGCTCCCATGAGGCTCAAAGAGTGCCCCAAGAGACTCCCAAGAGACCTCCTCCTCCTTTTTCCTCCCTACCCTCCGCCGCTTCTTCTGCTTTCCCCACGTGCTCTCCGAAGAGCCTCCACAACGGCTGGGGGAACACGCAGTCCGATAGCGTGGCCGAGCTGTGGCCGCAACATTCGGCCACTTGGGTTCTTTCAAGAGTCGGCGGCGAGCGAGGGGGGAAAATGAGAAGGGGAATGCCTTCTCAGAAGGCTCGGAAACCCCACGGCCGATTGAGACGTTTTCAGAAGGCGCGAGGGCTTCTGAGAAGAACGGCCGCCTTCCGAGTTCTGATTTCCCCCCTCGCTCGCCGCCGACAAAGGCAGGGGGCGGCGGTGATTCGCCGTAGGAGTAGGAGGAGGAGTGGGAGTAGGAGGGGGAGGAGGAGGAGGAGGAGGAGGAGGAGGAGGAGGAGGAGGAGGAAGAGGAGGACGAGGAGGAGGAGAACGATGAGGAGCAGGACGAGGAGGAGGAGGAGGACGAGGAGGAGGAGGACGAGGAGGAGGAGGAGGAGGAAGAGGAGGGGAAGGGGAAGGGTAAGGAGGAGGGCACCTCGTGGCTTCGGGGCACGCCGCCCTGGCCACAAGAGGCCCACGCGCTCCCGATCCTGAGTGGGGCCAAGGGGCACACAAGTAAATGCACACAAGTCCAAATATTCCCCGGATTGTCTAATACTTTTTCGGGTGTTCGTCTTCCCCCCCCACACACACACACACACTTCCCGTATTTTTGTTTGGGGGGAATCGACGATCAATTGTGTCTGTGTCTTTTCCTTCCTGATCTTCAGCGTTCCTCACGGAAGCACCATGGCTGTAAGAAGACATGGGCATTCTTCGAGCTGGATGGCTGCTTCTAGGAACGCTTCTTCTTGAATAGGCGGGAAGGCCGTCTACAGCAGACGCGTACGATAAGAAAAATCCCCCAGCAAACTTTGCACCGAAGGGCTCTCAATCCTCGTCTAAGGGGCTGGGCCGGACGGTCGGTCTGGCGGCCCTGTGGCCGCCATCGCCGCCCCGTCGCCGTCTCGTCGCCGCCCGTGGCCTGGGCCTGACGGACGGCCTGGCGGCTATGTGGCCAGCCTCGTCGCCGCCCGAAATCTGGGCCTTTCTGTCGGTCTGGCGGCCCCGTGCTCGCCGTCGCCGCCCCTTGTTTCTCCGTCTAAAAAATGAAATGTGTACTCCCACCTTCTCCCGAGGCCAGACTGATCGACACCCCTTGGACACTGGAAAAGACAAGTAGCTATGCCCCATCCTCCACACATGAATTCCTACCATCCAAGCCAAGCGGGCATCGATCCCCCCGTCATCCCTGTCAAATAATACCATGCGCGCGAAACTGTTTATCATCAGTCATCCAGTTTCGAAAATAACTCGCAACGAAAATACCTGTCAACGACGTCTGGTTTGACTTGGCCCCATGCATGAGTCTCTCGCTGCCTTCAACATGGACCAAATCAGTGGGCACCGGCCAGATCACTGGTCGCATCTCGGGCCGTGGCCTCAAGAGGATCTTGCAGCGGAGCGCGAGAACGACATCCTCGAGGCGGAATTCATCTTGGCAGATATTGGTCGTGTACGGCAAAGACGACAATGACGATTCCCTGGCCGAGGCGGAGTCGGAGGAGTCGCTGGAGTCCCCAGACGAGAGCCCCATCACCAGCGCAGCTGCGTCCAGCTCCGGAGGCCCAGCCGAAAGCGCCGCTTCCGATTTCTGCTGCAAAGCGCTTCGAGGCATGTTCGTCCACCACCGCGCCCGACAACGATGTGCATGCTTGTCCCTGCGAGTTGGTCTGCTCCCGCTACTTCTCGAAGGGAGGCTGCAAAGCAGAAGGGCGCTAACATAAGTGCCATGACGAGTCACATCGCGGCACACCGCAGGCTAAGCATAAACGCCGCCAGAAGTGAGCTCGGGCACCTTCGCCCAGGCCGCGCTGATTTCACCTTGTCCTGACTTAATTACCTTGTACTGTTCTTCTTTGACGCTGCATGCCTGGAATATCACGTCTCTCTCGTGATTTCGCTACTACGACGCATGGTGGGATGCTCCCCCGCACTGGGGCAACACACCGCCCCTGGGTTGCCTCTGTGTCGTCGTGGCCGAGCCGTGGGCGAGATGGTGGCGGGTGTCTGTCAGGACGATGCTGCCTTTTCCCCAGTCAGTGCTTGCACCGAAGGGGTCCGCGCGGAGGTTGAAGGACTTGGCGAAAATCTCCCGCCGATTTTGGTCGCACGCTGGGCTCCAAGGTCCCCGGTTCCGGGTTCCCGGGCCGATTTCGGTGGGCGGCGAGGTTTCCGGGTCTCTGGTCGATCTTCTTATCGATCGGTCTCACCATCGATCTCATTTCCCACCTCTCTATCGATCTCACCATCGATCCCACAATCGATCTTGCAAGCGATCTCACTAGAGATCGCACGAGTGATCTCGCGATCGATCTCCTTATCGATCTCATTGAATCGATGTCACCCTCGGTCACACGATCGAATTTACAATCGTCCTCTATCGATTCCACTATCGATCTAAATATCGATCTCAAGATCCATATGACTAGTTTTCACATAGATTTATCCCCAATGGTTGTGGTTTCGTGCTACTTGACCGGGACAGCTGAGCGAATCTGACCATGTCCCCGCGCGTGCAATGTGTCGCGCGCATGCCGAAGTCCTTCAAACACCTAGGATTTCGCAAGGATCTCAAAGTGGAGGCCCCATAAATATATATATATATATATAAAAAAAAGCCAACAGCAGCTCTGCAACATGCTGCTTCCACAGATCGGCTACACGCCAGAGTGACCCTGGGTAAGAGTGACCTTTGGTGCGCGGCTTCTTGGGGGCCGCGGGGAGACCAAACCTGGGCGCGCAAGCCGCTGCTACCGCTCCGTTTGCAGCCATCTGAGGGCCCACCTGTGCCCGCACCAAAGGTCACTCTGGCGAAAGGCCACTCTTACGTCTAGTCGAACAGACACCTGCGCGCGCTCGCTCCGGCCCAGGAGGGGCCCCAGGAGGGCCCCAGGAGGGCTCCAAGAGTCACGCGGGGAGACGCGACGGGGCCAGAGAGGCCCCCAGAGATCGGCCACAGACGCCCAAGATGAGCTCAAGAAGGCCCAAGAGAGCCCCAAGACTCGCCAAGAGGCCTCCGAAGAGGGGCCCCAAGAGGCACAAATCATAGACTTGCTCGTCGGTGCTTTTTTAATGTTTCCTCGCCTTGTGGGCTTCCCGACGCTCCAAGACGGCCCAAGATGCCCCCAAGATCGCCCCAAGACGGCCGCAGAGGCCTCCAAGAGGCCCCTCGGACGGTCCATGAGGGCCCCAAAGCGGCCCAAGAGGCGCCCAAGACGGCCCAAGGGGGCCCCAAGACGGCCCCGAAAGGAACCCAAGAGAGGGAACCGAAAATCCGAGCCTTCCGCCCCAAGAGGCTCCCAGCAAGCCCCCAGAGGCGCCCAGGAGGCCCCAAGATGCCCCCCAAAGGCACCCCAAAGGCACCAAGAGGGCCCCGAAGAGGCCCAAAAGAGGCCCCCAAACGGCCTCTGAACGGTTTCAAAACTGCCACCACAAGGTCACGGAAAGGCCTCCCAAGAATTCCACTGACTATTGAATAGGCTACGCACCCACAACCCAGGCACAGTGGCGGGATGGGCCGAGGGCCATTCGATCCGACGCCCCCTGTGGACTTATCGCAAAGGTGCATGGCGTGCTAGACCCTACTGGTTTTGTTTCGGTTTTTTCCTCAAAGAATTCTCCCCTGGGCCTCCGGTCCGCGCGAACATGTCGAAATCATCCTAAAACCTTCATCGCCGAGGCGTGGATGCCATCATCGTCCTCGGCATGACCACCAACGGCGCCGTCATTGCCCGTACCGCCACCACGGTCATCATCACCACCACAATCGCTACTGCCAGCATCGTGCCCGCCACTGTCGACGTCACCAGGATACCGCGCCGGCCAAAGTCATCGACTCTCACTGAAGTGCCCGCGCGACAGCGCGGCCTGCGAGACGTGCTGAGGAATCCCCAGCGGTCAGCGTTTCTGCGGCCGCGTCGGTCGCTCCAGACTAGCTGGCCTCTTTGCGCGCAAACTTGCGCGCTACAGCGCGGCCGCGCTAATGCGTCAGCCAGCGCCAAGCAATCATCACAATTGACGCCGCATGGACACTGCAAACCCAAATGCGGGTGGGCGAGTGGGATGATGATTGCGCGGGCAGTGGAATTGACAACTCCAAAATCTTCAAACGAATCTGCACCAAATGGGTGGGACAACGACGTAAACTGCACTGCATACATTGCACCACCTTGACAACACCACCTGAAATACACAATGTATCACTGCACGGCATCAATCCTCCTTCCTACCTACACAAGAGCTAGGAATCCCCCCCCCTCCCGGAATTATCCGCGTGTTCTCTTGCATTGTAATGTACAAACGGTTCTGCCCCATCGCCCATCCGGAAGATGAGCGCAGGCCATCCGGGCCCAACCGGCACCTATCCCCTCCCCCCGCCGTGCTCCGCAAGAGAAGTGTGCACACCATGGCGGGGTGAACAGAACTGTGCAGAGCACGCACGCACCAAAATTTGCACCGCGCGCGCTCGCCATTCTCAAAACCATCCGCTTCCGACAAGCATGCGCAGAGCAGGGGAGGACGTGCGCACGAGGGCGCCGTCGCGCACCCACGCCGAAGCCCGTCGGAACCCCCAGAAATGGTCTCGCGAGGATGTCAAAATTTCATGCCCCGAGAGCATACAACAGCACATGGCTTTGCAACCTCAATTTTGAAACCGAGAATCTGCGCGCGCGTCTTTGCGCAATTTTCGAACCGAGAATCGGCGCGCGCGTCTTTGCGCACCCAGAACAGAAAACCGCAGGTTCTCAAGACTCGCCTCAAACTCAACCAAACGAGCCTCTCGCGCGCGAATGTCGACGTCATTCGAACGCCCTTGCGTGCGTGATGGGGGGCACGATCCCTGTATTATAAAACCACGCGGGCCATTCGCGCACGACGGCCGCGCGCGCATGTCGAAATATTTCCAAAACTTTCATCGCTGACGCGAGAACGCCATCATCGTTACCAGCGTGACCAACATCGGCACCGTCATTTGCGTTGCTGTCGTCATTGTCATCATCATCATCACTACCATCGCTACTAACATCCTCGTATATACTGCTGCCGAAGTCACCATGATACCGCGCCCGCCAATCTCACCGACTAGCACTGAAGTGCCCGCGCGTCAGCACGGCCTGCGAAACGAACTGGAAGTCCAACGGTCGCGCCAAACTAGCTGGCCGCTGCGCGCGCGAGCATGCGCGGGCTAACGCGGCCGCAGACATGCACCAGCCAGCAAGCACCAATCGCAGTCGCCGCCGCATGGGTGTTGCACCTCGTTTCGGGCGGCTGGGTGGGTGGGATGATTGCGCGAGCAGTGGAGTTGACAACTCCGATTTGTTCCAAAATTACCTGCGCCGCATAGATTGCACCACATAGACGGCACCATATAGATGCGCATCATACATTGCGCAACAATACATTGCATGACACATGTTGCACCACATGGGTTGCACCACATGGGTTGCACCACATATACTGCACACATTAGGCTGTTAGAACAAAGTGTTTAGAGTCCACGCTGCCTAACATTTGGATAGCAGATAGTTTAGGGGCACATGAATAGTCGATATTGACGGCTCCCCAGGTGTCCCAGAGCTTCTTTGGGCTCCACTGCTCATCAAGGGATAAGCAACTTCCGAGGAGCACCTGCTCGCAGGCCGGTTTCTTATTTTGACGTGCCTACTGTAGGAAGGCGGGGAGCGTGTTCGAAGACAAGGGGGCTTCTTCGAATTGCCCGGATGCGTCCAGACGGGCGTCTGACAAAGGCCGGAAGGGCTGCCAGGATCTGGGGAGCAGCCCGCCTCCTCCGCAGCTCCCCCGCCCTCTCCAAGGCCGCCCCGCTCGTACCACCCCGTTGTGCGCGCCGACAACCTCTGCCAGCCGCGCGCAGCACAGGGCGCAGAGGATCGCGACCCTCTCGGCCTCGTCGTCCGTGCGCGACGGAGCGACCTGCGCCTCGCCGCCGCGCGGGCCGCCGCCGCTGCCGGGCAGGGCCGCGGGCGCGGTGGAGGCCGAGCTGCGCCCGGACTGGAAGTCGGCCTGGGGCCAGTCGGCCGGCAGGCCCAGCCAGCGCCACGCGCCTGCCAGGGCCTGGGCGTGCTTGTCCTGAGGGGTAGCGGTACTGCAGGCCACAATCAGAACGCGTGTGCAAGGATGCCGCAGGACCCTTGGAGGCCGAAGCTGGGTTCTTGTTCTCGGGCGGCGGGCAACCAGTGAAAACGGCAAACGGCGGGCCGCAGAGGCAAGGACACAAGGGTACCCAAGGTGAAGGCGCGAGTCCTCACTAGGCGCGCTGACTGCACGTTCAATAGAACATACGTACAATGAACAAACAAATCTGGACAACCCCCCGGACCAACCGGGCAGCTCACGCTGATGCAGGGCGACATGACGACCTACCACAGACAACCCCTTGGACAACCCAGCGGGGATCCTGACAACCCCACCTGACAACCCCCCCTGGACACGCCTCCCTAGGATTCTCCTTCTATCAGGTAGGTGTTATAAAGGGGGGACCAGCTCAGGGGGGGCGGGAAACATCGAGCTGAAGTCGGCGATACATCGTCGACAGATCGGCGATAGCTCCCCGATAGCAGAACCCCACGCTCTTGGGCGGGTTGGGCCAGCGAGCCCCTTATCGGAGATCAATGAGCGACGGGGGGTCGATGCATCCCCACCTGATCCGATCCCCTGGCGGTTCTCGGTCGGGGATCTTCTGACCCAGGTCAATCCAGACCCGGGTCAACCAGGCCTGCAAAATCCTGCAAGATCCTGCACCCAAACCCGGGTCAATGCGAAAGATCCTGCAGGATCCTGCAGGATCCTGCACCCAAGCCCGGGTCAATGCGACCCTGGCGCTGCAGGATCCTGCAAGACCCAGCGCTCTGGCTGACCCCCGTCTGCACCGACCCCCGTCTCGAGGCTCCCGACTCGGGCCCCCGGCGGCCGCTCGGGACGCTTCGGGCACCCCCAGCACGCCCTCGGCGAGGCGCAGCCGCTGAAGCGCACCCCGAGGACGGAAACCCGACGAGACCCTGCGGCAGCGCCCGAAGACCTCGAGCCTCGAGCCTCGAGCCTCCTCCTTTCGGCGGTGGACAAAAACCTCCCTTTAGTGGACCTCTCCTCAGTGAAAACGGCCTGGGACCGAAATCGACGGACCCGGACCCGACAAAAAATGACGGCCGCGACGCCCTCTCGCGAACCGAACACGGCCAATTCCTTAATCCACATGTCAGGGAAGGAGGTCTGTCCACCCCCGATCCTTCACCGCTGCCCCTGACGTCCTCGTCGCACAGCTGCTCCAGCTCCCCCAGCATGCTCGGCGGAGACGCCCGGTCCCGCTGCGGCCGGGCGTCGCGCTCCGGAGGCGGGGGGGGCCGCGCCGCGCGGACCGCCGCCATGCTGCGGGGGCCCTGGGCCGGCCCACGGAGCCCTGCCCTGCAAGCCAACTCTTTGCCAGCGTTCCGTCGGGCGCGTCCCCCTTGCAGGAGGATGTTCGACGCAAAGGAAAGAAATAGTCGAAACAAATATGTGCCAGAATGGTCAACAAAATAATAAAAAACGGTCCCCAGACTATTCTGTTGACTATTTTTGAATATTCCTCCTGCAGAGGGACGGGCCCGACTTCATGCCAGCGCCGCGCAGGCGCGTCCAAAGTATGACTGCTCCCCTTCGCACCTCCTCCCCTGCCCTCTGCTCTCCGCGGCTGGCTGCGCCGCCCCCCCCCGCTCCTGGCCTCGCCCTGCCCCGTCCCGTTCCTCGAGAGGAGGAGGAGGGAAGGATCGTGACAAGGTGCCTGGAAACTGTCGTGGCCAAGCTCGAGAGGAGGAGGAGGGAAGGATCGTGACGAGATGCCTGGAAACGGCTGTGGCCAGGGAAATGGGGGAGGCGAGGGACGAAAATATGGACGGACGGTCAGAGTCCAGAAGACGCCCCGGAGGGCTGTGACCGCCCCGCCGAGAGTGCCGCCACCCGGCACGGGGCAACCGACAGGTACCGATACAGTCGGGGCGTTGACCCAAGGAACCCTAAATAAGGAGCGGGGCCCCTCCCTCCCATAAGTTGAGCTTCGATCTCCCATGGGAAACCTCAGGGAAACAGAAGGCAAACTGCAGAACAGTCAAGGAACACCGAGCCCCTCCCCAACGAAAAGGGTTCCTTCTTCAGGGCCCCGACTGTACCACCACTCCCCAGACCTCTCCCAGGGTGCGTTCTGACCAGAATCTCGAGGTGAACCCAGCGGTGGCGACCAGGGCCTCCCAGAATGGCCGAACCAGGGGAGAACGGGCGCAGGGTCGCGGCATGGGCGCCCTTGCCCCTTGTGAAGCAACTGGGGTCAGCGAACCAACGCCATGCAGGGATGCGCCAATTTTCGGGGATGGACAGACCCCCCTTTAGTAAAACGTGGTTTAGTGAAAACGACCTGAGGCCCAAACCTGGCGGGCGCAAGCCTGGGAAATAACGGCCACGGCGCCCTCTCGAGAACCGAAAACGGACAATTCACTAATCGACGTATCACTGTTGGGGGTTCTGTCCACCCCCGAAATTTGCACGTACGGCAGGTCCGTGTCGTGCCGACTCCGGCGTTGGCTTCTGGCACCGCGGGGATCGTTCCACCTGGAACGATCGGCCGTTTCCGAAACGTCAGATCTTTCAACATCGATCGATTCTGGGTCGCCAGCGGCGTGCACCGACGAACGCCTCGGGGATCTACTGACTGGGGTCAATCCAGACCCAGGTCAGTCAAGCTTTGCAAGATCCTGCAAGATCCTGCACCCAAACCCGGGTCAATGCACCCTGGGCTCTGCAGGATCCTGCAAGATCCGGCGCTCTGACGGACCCCCGCTTGCATTGACCCCCGCTTGGGCCCCGAACGCCGGCGGCGGGGTCGCCGCCGGTCGACACGACGCGAACCTGCCGCACGACCCTCTCGGCCCCCAGCCGCTCCGAGGGGCCTGGACTGGCCGGGGGCGCCGAAGGGTGGCGGGGGCGGAGAGGAGAGGCCGAGCCGATTGGGGGCAGCTGGGGGTCTTTCCGGGAGCTCCCTGGGGGACATCCACGGCCTCGGTGCAGGGCAATTCGGGGAACGAGCAGTGACACGAATATCAAAAACTCGGAGGTCCGCGCGGATGCCTCGGATCGGCACTGGGGCCACCTGGCGGCGCCTCCGGCGCCGCGCCATGGAGGGGGGTACAGCGCCGATCCTGGAACTCCGCGCGGAGCTCCGAGCTTCTATGTCTGTGCCATTGCTTGTTCCACTGGTCCTTGGCCTCGGTGCAAGACACTTGGCTACAACTACCGACAGATTGCACAGAGCGGGGGAGCTGGGCGATGGCCGCGACGTCTCCGGAGTCCACGCTCCTCTTCACCATAATGCCTTGAGCCGACCTCCTCGTGCGCAGCGAATGACGTCAAGGCCGGGCGCCCTGCCCTCATCAGTCTCGGGAGGGAAAATGCCAGGTCGGATGCTCTGATGTAGCAGGATGAGGACCACGCCGCACAAGCCTACAGGAGGGGAGAAACCCAACCCTGAGACCCCAGAACGTCCATTGATTTTTGGTGTGGGGACGTCACTCTGACCATAGCAGAACCATCGACATCAAGAAACCCAGGGCACCCTGGAGGCAAGCAGGGTGTTTCGTGGCATGGGTCTCCACTGTCATCCTACCAGCCCTCTGGGCGTACAGTAAACCCGTATCATAAGGATGCGCGGTAAGGGCGCAGGGGCCTTGGAGGCCCATGCGAACGCTGTTCGAGCGAGGCTGGCCAGCGGTGAGGATGGGCCGAAGGGGCAAGGATGCAAGAATACCCTTGAAGGTTGCCCATCCTTACTATGCGGGTTGACTGCAGGTGGTCTAGAAAACGTTGTCTTCTAACCCGCATCCTTCCCCCTCGGTGAGGAATTTACCCCTCCCCCCAAACCCCCTTCTCCTGGACCTGGAGGGGGGGGTCCGCGAGGCGCTGGAGCGCCCAAGATGGGCCAAGATGCCACAAGAGGGCCCCAAGATGACCTCCAAGATGGCTCAAGATTGCCTAAGATGGCTCCCAAGATGCTCCAAGAGGCCTCAAGACCGCTCCAAGACGGCTCCAAGTGGCCATGAAAACTCCACAGGAGGCCGCCAAGAGGACCAAACCCTTCAAACATTTAAGGCCAATCGGTGAATTCGGCTGCCTCGCCTTTTTGCTTTCGATGGCCTTTCCGGAGCCTCAAGACAGCTCCAAGGGGGCCCGAAGAGCCCCAAGAGAGGCCCAAGAGAGGCCCAAGAGAGCCCCAAGACGACCCCAAGAGCGCTCCAAGAGGGATCCAAGAGGCGTCGTTTGGAGTTCCCGAGGGGGAACGTAATTAGAGCTCCCTTCTTTTGTTGAGCGATCTCCTCCAAGATGGCCCCGAGAGCGCTCCTCAGGCTTCCAAGAACGCCTCAAGAGTGCCCCAAGAGGCGCCCAGGAGGCCTATAGAGGCTTCCAAGAGGCCTCCAAGGGGCTCCCGAGATACACCCAAGAGGCCCCGAAAGGCTGCCCGAGGAACCGAAGACTCTCTCAGTGAGGCGACCGCCAAGAGGCTCCCAAGAGCGCTCCAGGAAGGACCCTTCCTCTGTGTGCTACCCACTCTCCTGCTCGAGGCAACTCCTCTGGGCGTCGTCTCTGGATTGGCTGGTGGGGTTACAGTCAAAAACCTAAGAAGGACGCGCGGTAAGGACGCAAGACCCTTGGAAGCCGAAGTTGGGATTTTTCGTCAAGCGGGCAAGCAGAAGAGGCCAAGAACGAGCCGCAAGAGCAGGGGAGAGCAAGGACGCAAGGGCACCCTGAGCAGAGTCGCGCGTCCGTATTAGGGCTTTTGACTGTACGCGGGGAGTTCTTGACTCGGCGCTGGATCCCCCCCCCCCCTGGCGCGCGGAGCGCGCCACGGGCGGCGCCGCGGGCGCCGCCAGTGACAGGAAGGCACCAACTATACACCAACACCGATCCTGGCCAGGATCACCCTGGGCCCAGGATCGGTGTATACGCCCTCCTGCCTTGCGCGAGAAGGCATACACACCGATCCTGGGCCCAGGGTGATCCTGGCCAGGATCGGTGCTGGTGTATAGCTGGTGCCCTCCAAAGTGGGTTGGCGCCCAACGCCGCTCCCAGAAGCCCGCGACGGGCCGCAGGAGCGCGTCCTCGCCCCCGGCTCCTGCCCGAATCGGAGCCCGGGCCGGGCCGCGGCCCCGCGCCCGGAGGCGAGCACCCTGTTTCAGCGCGAGCGCCAAGAGATATCGCCCCCGCCTGTCGGCTGCTCGACCCAGGTTGGCACGGCCGCGTCCCGCCTCGCCCTTCCGCCACCCTCCCTCCTCCCTCATTCCTCCTCCTTCCCCCTCCTTCCCCCTACTCCTCCTCCTCCTCCTCCTCCTCCTCACCCTCTCTGGTTTTTAATATGATTAGTATGCTTATTACTTACAAGTATTATTCTTATGTTTCTCCTTCTTCTTATAATTATTATCAGAGTGAGGGGGCCGAACGGTCATTCATTGTCCCTGGGTGCGAGGCTCTAGCGGGGATCCGTGGTGAGGATTCTGCTCGTTGCGCTGTTGTTGTTTGTTATCGTCGTCCCCATTGCGACCCACCCCGCGACCCACCCCGCGATCCACCCCGCGACCCACCCCGTGACCCAGCCCACGTCCCAGCCCGCGACCCACCCGCGACCCAGCCCGCGACCCACCAACGACCCACCCGCGACCCACCCCGCGATCCACCCACAATGCTTGAATGAAAAAATCGGCGCCTGCGGCGGGCTCAATGCATAATGCATAAACATTAGGCAATTAGGCGCCTGCGGCGGGCTTCTCCAGAGCCTCGCAGACTGAGGACGTTCTCGCAGCCCCCTCACTCTCATCCGCCAGTGCGGGGTGTTACGTTATTCCTCGTCTTCCTCTTCTTCCTCTTCTTCTTCCTCCTCCTCCTCCTCCACCTCCTCCTCCTACCTCCTCCCCCTCCTCCTCCTCCTCCTCCTCCCCTCCTTCCTCCCTCCCTCCCTCCCTCCCTCCCTCCCTCCCTCCCTCCCTTCCTCCTCCCTCCCTCCCTCCGTCCTCCTCCTCATCCTCGTCCCGTGGAGCCACGGGGGATTAATCACAACAAAAGGAATGCGGATGACGGAACGTGGCATGGCGATGGCCATCAACAGATGAAACCCATTTGAACGAAATAAAAAAAACACCCATAATATTCCATCGCACGGAAACAACACACCATGCAACAAACAACAAACCGGACCCAACTGTAACAAACCCGAACGAAATGGACAACGCTTGACCCAAACGGAACGCAACAAGCCGGAATCAAACACAACACACCAGAACCAAAAGAACAAACCTGAACCCAAACGCAGCAAACTCAAACCAAATGCAACACACCCGAACGAAACCGA